CTTTCCCTAGGCTTTCTTAACTTGTTTAACTCACTCCAAAATTTTTTCTTATTTTCATTAAAATTTCTTGACAGTGCCTCTCCCACTCTCATCTGCTCTCCTTTTGCACTCTCTCACCACTCTCTTCACCTTTCTTTTACTCTCCATATACTCTGCTCTTCTTATAACACTTCTGCTTTGTAAAAACCTCTCGTAAGCTACCTTTTTCTCTTTTATCACACCCTTTACTTCATCATTCCACCAATCACTCCTCTTTCCTCCTGCCCCCACCCTCCTATAACCACAAACTTCTGCCCCACATTCCAATACTGCATTTTTAAAACTATTCCAACCCTCTTCAACCCCCCCACTACTCATCTTTGCACTAGCCCACCTTTCTGCCAATAGTCGCTTATATCTCGCCCGAACTTCCTCCTCCCTTAGTTTATACACTTTCACCTCCCTCTTACTTGTTGTTGCCACCTTCCTCTTTTCCCATCTACCTCTTACTCTAACTGTAGCTACAACTAAATAATGATCCGATATATCAGTTGCCCCTCTATAAACATGTACATCCTGGAGCCTACCCATCAACCTTTTATCCACCAATACATAATCTAACCTAGGTAGTAGGTTGGTAGACAGCAACCGCCCAGGGAGGTACTACCGTCCTGCCAAGTGAGTGTAAAACGTAAGCCTGTAATTGTTTTACACGATGGTAGGATTGCTGGTGTTTTTTCTGTCTCATAAACATGCAAGGTTTCAGGTACGTCTTGCTACTTCTGCTTACACTTAGGTCACACTACACATACATGTACAAGCATATGTATACACACCCCTCTGGGTTTTCTTCTATTTTCTTACTAGCTCTTGTTCTTGTTTATTTCCTCTTATCTCCATGGGGAAGTGGAACAGAATTCTTCCTCCGTAAGCTATGCGTGTTGTAAGAGGCGACTAAAATGCCAGGAGCAAGGGGCTAGTAACCCCTTCTCCTGTATATATTACTAAATATGAAAGGAGAAACTTTTGTTTTTCCTTTTGGGCCACCCCACCTTGGTGGGATACGGCTGGTGTGTTGAAAGAAAGAAGAAAACATAATCTAACAAACTACTTTCATTACGTGCTACATCATACCTTGTATATTTATTTATCCTCTTTTTCATAAAATATGTGTTACTTATTACCAAATTTCTTTCTACACATAGCTCAATTAAAGGCTCCCCATTTACATTTACCCCTGGCACCCCAAATTTACCTACTACTCCCTCCAAAATGGGAATTGACACAGTTACTTTTTGCTGATGATACTGTGCTTATGGGAGATTCTAAAGAAAAATTGCAAAGGTTAGTGGATGAGTTTGGAAATGTGTGTAAAGGTAGAAAGTTGAAAGTGAACATAGAAAAGAGTAAGGTGATGAGGGTATGAAATGATTTAGATAATGAAAAATTGGATATCAAATTGGAGAGGAGGAGTATGGAAGAAGTGAATGTTTTCAGATACTTGGGAGTTGACGTGTCGGCGGATGGATTTATGAAGGATGAGGTTAATCATAGAATTGATGAGGGGGAAAAAGGTGAGTGGTGCGTTAAGGTATATGTGGAGTCAAAAAACGTTATCTATGGAGGCAAAGAAGGGAATGTATGAAAGTATAGTAGTACCAACACTCTTATATGGGTGTGAAGCTTGGGTTGTGAATGCAGCAGCGAGGAGGCGGTTGGAGGCAGTGGAGATGTCCTGTCTAAGGGCAATGTGTGGTGTAAATATTATGCAGAAAATTTGGAGTGTGGAAATTAGGAGAAGGTGTGGAGTTAATAAAAGTATTAGTCAGAGGGCTGAAGAGGGGTTGTTGAGGTGATTTGGTCATTTAGAGAGAATGGATCAAAGTAGAATGACATGGAGAGCATTTATATCTGTAGGAGAAGGAAGGCGGGGTAGGGGTCATCCTTGAAAAGGTTGGAAGGAAGGGGTAAGGGAGATTTTGTGGACGAGGGGCTTGGACTTCCAGCAGGCGTGCATGAGCGTGTTCAATAGGAGTGAATGGAGACGAATTGTATTTGGGACCTGACGATCTGTTGGAGTGTGAGCAGGGTAATATTTAGTAAAGGGATTCAGGGAAACTGGTTATTTTTATATAGCCGGACTTGAGTCCTGGAAATGGGAAGTACAATGCCTGCACCCTAAAGGAGGGGTTCGGGATATTAGCAGTTTGGAGGGATATGTTGTTCTTTATACGTATATGCTTCTAAACTCTTGTGTTCTGAGCACCTCTGCAAAAACAGTGATTATGTGTGAGTGAGGTGAAAGTGTTGAATGATGATGAAAGTATTTTCTCTTTGGGGATTTTCTTTCTTTTTGGGTCACCCTGCCTTGGTGGGAGATGGCCGACTTGTTGAAAAAAAAAATATAATAATATCTTTATATACTACAAGTACATGTACAAGGTATACAGGCCTAGCTGTCATCAATGACGTATTACTACAGTGGAACTTCGGTTTTCATGAATAATTCGTTCCAGAAAGTCTGGTGAAAACCAAATTGTATGTAAAATGCTCCAAACTTCAGAACACCCGTGACTTAACCTGAATCCTCATTTTTCTTCTTCTTCTTCTTCTTCTTCTTCTTCTTCTTCTTCTTCTTCTTCTTCTTCTTCTTCTTCTTCTTCTTCTTCTTCTTCTTCTTCTCTTCTTCTTCTTCTTCTTCTTCTTCTTCTTCTTCTTCTTCTTCTTCTTCTTCTTCTTCTTCTTCTTCTTCTTCTTCTTCTTCTTCTTCTTCTTCTTCTCTTCTTCTTCTTCTTCTTTCTTCTTCTTCTTCTTCTTCTTTCTTCTCTTCTTCTTCTTCTTCTTCTTCTTCTTCTTCTTTCTTCTTCTTCTTCTTCTTTCTTCTTCTTCTTCTTCTTCTCTTCTTCTTCTTCTTCTTCTTCTTCTTCTTCTTCTTCTTTCTTCTTCTTCTTTCTTCTTCTTCTTCTTTCTTCTTCTTTTTCCCCTTTCCTCTCTCCTTTTCTCCTCTGGGTTCTTTCTCTCTCCTGTCTCGTGTTTCTGTTCCTTCTTCATTTATTTTATTTCACCACTTCCCCTTTCACGCACCTCGGTGCGCTTGCTCTCCCTCTGTGGGTTTCTAGCTCTCTTGCAGTGCTCCCCTTCCTTTGTTTTTGACTGGCTCGTCTTCCTTATTTCCCACTTCTACCACTACTACTACCTCTTCTTCTTCTACTACAACTACTGATGAAATTAAGACACATGTGCGGCGTCTGGTTGTCTTTGTTGTGGACGTTTCGCCATCCAGTGGCTGGCTGGATGGCGAAACGTCTACGGTGGGGATGCCCGGGTGTTATGCATGTGTCATTTCATCCTGTCGGTATTATATACAATTCTTGTACTACTACTACTACTACTACTACCTCCACCTCTTCCTGCCTATATATAGCCGTCCTGCTCCACCTCTGTTAGTGTGACTTTGTCAATGGTCCAAGTCGGACCGAAACGTCGTCGTAAGCTTCTCTCTTTTATGTGCGGGTTATTTGTGTATCGTTCCAGTCACGGTATTGTGCCTTTTTGTTATTTATTTAGGAAAAAATATATTTTATAAAGAATAACTATAGTTTTACATACAGAAAACAATGAGAAATAAATATAAATGACTAATGAAATGGATAAATGAACATTTAATATCCTTTTACCTCTATTGAAGACTCTTGTTGGCGTATGGAAGACGGCGAGGAGGGAGGAGGATAGGTTATTGTTTGGAAGGGGAATCCCCCTCCATAAGGACTTAGGTATCAAGGCCCTGTCCAGGGTTACTTCCCTTCTATGTCTTTTACTGGCACTAGGACCGGCTTGAGAGTTCCTCGACCCCTGACACAAAAAAGTTGTCCAGAGAGGTCTGTTTCTGGCATCTCTTTTAGATTTGCCTAAGATGGGACAAGGCATTGTCATTGAACATGTTGCAGACATGGCTTGCAGCAGCTTTGGTAGGGTGATATTTCTCCACAAAACTTTGCAACTCGCTCCACTTTGCAACTCGCTCCACTTTGCACACATGTTCTTAATCACTGAAGAAGGCACATTCTCCCCTCTCTCTTCCTCCTCCTCTGAAGCAATTTCCTCAGCTGCTGTCTGTTGCTGTTCCAGTTGAGGTCTTGCAGATCTTCAGTGGTTAGCTCTTCCCTGTGGTTGTGCACCAACTCTTCCACCAAAACACTCTCTCTCGCTAACTGCTTTTTGTTGATCCACACCAACAACAACTTCTCAACATCTTCGATTGTTTGCGATCTCTGTCTCGTTAGCACATTTACCCCTTTCAAAACATCAGCTTCCTTGATTTCTTTTTTCTTTGCCAGGATAGAACTGATCATTGATGCAGACTTCCTGTATATCCTGGAGAGATCGGCTATGCGTACACCACTCTTGTACTTTGCTACGAGTTCTTTCTTGAATTATATCGTGTTTCTCGCCTTCTTTATCAAAGGGCTGGCACTCGGAATTTTCTTTGGCCTCATGGTTCTTATTTAGCAGTCGCACTCAATAAACAAGCACAAAAACAATGGATTATTACGAAATGTTATCCGGATGCTTGGGGTAGTGTTCACTCAACAAGAAACAACGCCAGACTAAATCAGAACGCATGGGATGCTTTGTGTGGGCACGAGCAGGTGGACGCGTTTGGTACGGACCGTTGTCAACTCTATGAAAAGTGAGTGGATGTACGAAAACTGGGAAAAATTTGAACGAAAAAAGTCGTCGAAAACCGAATCCTAAGAAGACAAGGGCATACAAAAACCGAGGTTCCGCTGTATATAGAAAGCACCTTATTATGCAGAGCATTTCAGGCAAATTAGGTCAGTTTTGTCTCAGGATGTGACACCCACACCAGTCAACTAACACCCATGTTAAAATAAAATTATTAATTAGCTATTAAAAGGGGTTTGTCTATATCTACTTGGATAAGATTTTTTTTTAACACACTGGCATCAAAATTAACATAAGTGTTTATTTATTTAATTTTTTTTTATTTTCTGTTGCAGAATGGATTCATTTGTGCTCTCGGAAACCTTCAAGTACCTGTATTTGCTTTTTTCTAAACCCAGTGATCTAATAATTGATCTGGACCAATTTATTTTCACCACAGAGGCCCATCTTCTTCCTCTATCTCTTGCTCGACTCTCTAACCTGACAGTCGTTCCTGTAAGTATTTTACTGTCCTAGAAACACTGAACATTAATTTGTTAAAATGTTTCTTGATTATAGTTATTTATGAATTATACATAGTAAGCCCTTTCATAATGAGTGGGATACATTCCCTAAAATTGACTTTTTTTATGAAAAATACCATTATTCAAAGTGAAGAATGTGTGGGGCCAAAATAGAGCTATGTTCTGGAGACCTCCAGATTTGCTAAGCAACTGTTTTTAATTCTATTAATAAAAAACAAAATGATGTATTTCACCTTATATTCTTGTAGTTGCCTGTTGATATTGCTGTATAGATAGGGTTGATGTTGCACTGTTGGGGAAGGTTGCATGTTGTGAGGTTTATGATGCATCTCCTGTGTTTGTCAGAATGTCAACATCAGTAAAAATTGGGACTTTTTTACCAAATTGTACCAAACATAATATGGGAACTCTCCACATCTATGCCAAACAGACATATACGATACTAGGAATATTTGCATTTCAGAAATTAACATCCAGGAAAAATGCAGTAGTACTATAATAAAAGTATGGATGTGGGAAATTATGTTGGAAGATGTAGAGATAGTGACTATGACTCAATAAATCATAGGCTGTGGTGACCCTATGAACCTCCATGAAAGAAATAACTGTGTTGTGGCTGAGCCTTGGTTGAGATTGTACCTCTACTTCACAGCTGCCCCCCCCCTCTCTCTCTCTCTTTCATCCCTTTTTTTTTTTTTTTTTATACACAGGGTTTGACAAGGTTAAGGATCCCTAGCTTTATTGACAAGCTATTTACAGGTTAAGGATTCCTAACTTTATTGGCAAGCTAAGAGCGGTTACCTACATCAGCTCATTTGAAAGCATTTTTATTGTTATGAGACATACAAGTAGGGAACAGGATGAAGTTGGAGCCATCTGTGGGCCAGCATTTTCATTTGATCAACTGACTTTATCTCGTTGACATCATTATGCTGTACAAATGTGTTCTATACTCGAGTCATCCTGGGTATATATGATCTCAGATAGAGTGATGTTCTGGAGAAGGGTACAGCCAGAGTGAAGTTGCTGCTTTCTGCCTGTCTTGTGGCATAAAAGTTTGTTTCACGCTGTCCTCGAAGTGGATCCAAGTGTGGTACTTCGACAATATTGGCCTTGTACATAACAGTAAGGCCACCCACATCCCTCCTGTGTTGAAGGCTCTGCTGAAATGACAGACCTATCCAGGATGGGTCCAGGCGAGAGATGAGACGTCTTGCTCTGTTCTCTACTCTGTCAAGCAGTCACAGATGGGGGGGGGGCAGGCAAACCAAGAAAGTGGAGCATACTCAAGGTGTGAGCGTACTTGTGCCTCGTACAAAATCTTGCAACCCCTGCTGTCAAGCAGATGTGAGATACGGCGAAGTGCTGTAAGCTTCCTGGCTGCCTTGTTTGCCAGATTTACAACGTGGTTTTTCATGGTCAGTTTGGAGTCTAATTTCATCCCAAGGATATCAACTTCTTTCCCAGGTGCCAACAACCTCCCATTCATCCTTACTACTGCACCGGCATTACCATCATGGTGCCTAGAGAAGATCATCATTTGCGTTTTCTCAGGTGCAAATGTTACTTGCCATCTATTTCCCCAAGCTGATATAGCTCTTAGCTGGTGATTGATGTAGCTTAGAGCAGCTGGCATTTTTTCTCTTGGATAAGTGAATGTCAGTGTACAGTTGCCTGCATATGCATGGGATTCTGGGATGAGATGAAGGAGGCCATTGAAGCAGACATTCCATAACAATGGTCCCAGAACACTTCCTTGTGGAACACTTGCCCCAATAGGATGTCTTGCTGATTCTGTTCCATTGAGAACTACCCTTAGAGATCTACCATGAAGGTAATCACTGAGGAAACATAGCGTAGAGCCTGCAATTCCCAGAGCTTGCAGTTTTTCCAAGAGGCCCTGGTGCCACACCCGGTCGAAAGCACCAGCAATATCCAGTGCTACCACACAGCTGACTTTGGATTCATCCAGTGACTGGTGCCACTTAGTAGAGAGGTTTAACAACAGATCAGCAGCAGAGTAACCTTTCCTGAACCATATTGATGTTCACAAAGTAGTGAGTGGTAGTCAAAAACTCTGTCATTTGTCTTGAGATTATTGTCTCAAGGAGCTTGCCAGTGATTGACAGGAGTGACACTGGTCTGTAGTTGCTGATTTCTGCCCTGCTCTTATTTTTGTGAACAGGGACTACATTTGCCTCTTTCCACAGAGAAGGCCATTTACACTGTACTAGGCAGTGCTGAAAGATGCGAGTTAGAGGTGGTGCTAGCTGGTCTGCACATCTTCTCGGCAATCTTGGGCTCAACTTTTCTGGGCCCACAGTCTTTTCTTGGACAAGTGATTTAAGAAGGAAATGCATCTCTTTTTGCCTTATTATCACCACTGACAGTTTTGACACAGTTCTTGCAGCTAGCCGAGGAGGGTCCTTTGCCGGATCAGGAACTTGCATTTTGGTAGCAAAATGTTTGGCAGAGAGGTCCACTTTCTCTTGACTACTAGTAGAGGTGCCCCCATCCTGTCAATTTAGAGGTGGAATGAGTTCATCAGGCAGATAACTTTATCTGTCCTTGACCAGGGACCACCAGGATTTGGAGCCTACTCTACCTGATGCTAGCTGTTTTTTTGTGTCCACCTCCCATTTAGCAATGGCCCACTTTTGAACGTCATCCATATGCCTACAGGCATATGGGTTACTTCCCTTCTTTGTCTTTTACTGGCACTAGGACCTGCTTGAGAGTCACTGCACCTGTTGCACAAAAAAACTGTCCAGAGAGGTCTTTAATCCTTTCAGGGTTGAGAGGCCTTCTCCGATTTCAACTATCCAATAAAGTGGTCAGAAATTGGCAATTTTGCCAATATCACACAAATTTTAGAAGATGCCAATTTCCAAATCGGGTCCAGAATAAACAACACAGACATTCCTGGTACTAAAATATCATTTCCTCTGTTCATTAGTCATGTCCCCAGGCCCCTCTTGCATTTCTTTTGCTTTCCACTTTGAATTTTTATTCTCGCAAAAAAAAAAACAGAAGATTTACTGTTATGCAGACTACTGCATTAGTGTAGAAATGGTATAAATAATATCAGCGCACTTGTGAAAGAATATTAGACTCACCAGTTGACGTGTATTGGATGCGTGACATGCTTTGTTTACTTTTGAACTTTGGTAAAAATCGAACATTTCTGCTACTTTGAGCTCAATTTCAAGGTACTTTTCATTATGAAATCAATCAAAATCATCTCATTTTCTGTAATATGTCTTCCATTCTATAAAATGAGACCAGGAAAACTAAAATACAACCATAAATAGCATACGAAAATACAGTGCAAAGTCGCTGTTTTAAACCAAAAACACAAAGTTTTTTTTTTCTCATTACGCACTGTGTGCTGCAGGATTTTTTTTATACTGTGCACACTGACCACATAGACCCATTCTTTCATATGTAGGCCTACCAGATTTCTCTCGCTAGATTTGAAGGCACTAGAATTTATGCGTACTAGTATGTCAATAACCCTGGTGCATAAGATGTACTAGTACATCAGAAACCCTGAAAGGGTTAAGATTTGCCTGAAGTGGGACAAGGTTTTGTCACTGAATTCTATCGTGTTTTTCACTTTCTTTACCAAAAGGCTGGCACTAGGAGCTTTCTTTGGGCCTATGGTGGCTTATTTTGCAGTTGCACTCAATAAACAATCACAAAAAACAATGGATTATAACGAAATATTTGGATGAATGTGTGGAGTGTTGCTCACTCACCAAGAGAGACAGCCAGACTGACTCGCGCATGTGCCATGGTGGGCAGACGTGTCCAATATGGCCGATTTCTGAGTTGCTGGCCGAAATCCTCGATAGAATTTCAGCCAAAAAAGCGGTCGAAATCCAATTTGGCCGATATCTGGGGGTCTACTGTAGTTGATTGGGCAGTTTCTTGTGCTGAATCGATAAAATAGAAGGAATACTAGCGAAATAGCTAAGAATTTGTTCAACTGAAACAATGTGATTGGCCTAAAATAGGAGTCAGAGTGAGCACAATTGCCGATGCGTAAATATCGCTGACGTAGTAAAATTTGCAGTAGTGTAATTTTGTCAGTTTTCCATGAAATTTTGTACTTTTTGTTTTATTACCTTCAGAAAAAGATTCTCTACTATTTCATAAGAAAAAACAACAAATTTGTTTTGAAAATTCTTGGACCCTGTGGGCAAGGCATAGAACTACGGCTTGGACCCTCAAAGGGTTAAGGTATGTGAAAGGGGTTTCTTTATGGTATTCCTTTCTGGACAGATGCAAAACTTGTAAACATAGCGTATAAAACATTATCTCCTTTATTCCCACATTTTAGCTCTGATGGTGCAAAGGATATGACAACTGCATGACTTTACTGGAATGCAGGAAATTGCTAATTTAGTTTTTTTTTTTTTTTTTTTTTTTTTCAACAAGTCGGTCGTCTCCCACCGAGGCAGGGTGACCCACAAAAAAGAAAGAAAATCCCCAAAAAGAAAATACTTTCATCATCATTCAACACTTTCACCACACTCACACATTATCACTGCTTTTGCAGAGGTGCTCAGAATATAACAGTTTAGAAGTATATACGTATAGAGATACACAACATATCCCTCCAAACTGCCAATATCCCAAACCCCTCCTTTAAAGTGCAGGCATTGTACTTCCCATTTCCAGGACTCAAGTCCGACTATATGAAAATAACCGGTTTCCCTGAATCCCTTCACTAAATATTACCCTGCTCACACTCCAACAGATCGTCAGGTCCCAAGTATCATTCGTCTCCATTCACTCCTATCTAACACGCTCATGCACGCTTGCTGGAAGTCCAAGCCCCTCACCCACAAAACCTCCTTTACCCCCTCTTTCCAACCTTTCGAGGACGACCCCTACCCCTCTTTCCTTCCCCTATAGATTTATATGCTTTCCATGTCATTCTACTTTGATTCATTCTCTCTAAATGACCAAACCACCTCAACAACCCTCTTCTGCCCTCTGACTAATGCTTTTATTAACTCCACACCTTCTCCTAATTTCCACACTCCGAATTTTCTGCATAATATTTACACCGCACATTGCCCTTAGACAGGACATCTCCACTGCCTCCAACCGTCTCCTCGCTGCTGCATTTACCACCCAAGCTTCACATCCATATAAGAGTGTTGGTACTACTATACTTTCATACATTCCCTTCTTTGCCTCCATAGATAACGTTTTTTGACTCCACATATACCTCAACGCACCACTCACCTTTTTTCCCTCATCAATTCTATGATTCACCTCATCCTTCATAAATCCATCCGCTGACACGTCAACTCCCAAGTATCTGAAAACATTCACTTCTTCCATACTCCTCCTCCCCAATTTGATATCCAATTTTCTTTATCTAAATCATTTGATACCCTCATCACCTTACTCTTTTCTATGTTCACTTTCAACTTTCTACCTTTACACACATTCTCAAACTCATCCACTAACCTTTGCAATTTTTCTTTAGAATCTCCCATAAGCACAGTATCATCAGCAAAAAGTAACTGTGTCAATTCCCATTTTGAATTTGATTCCCCATAATTTAATCCCACCCCTCTCCCGAACACCCTAGCATTTACTTCTTTTACAACCCCATCTATAAATATATTAAACAACCATGGTGACATTACACATCCCTGTCTAAGACCTACTTTTACCGGGAAGTATTCTCCCTCTCTTCTACACACCCTAACCGGAGCCTCACTATCCTCATAAAAGCTCTTTACAGCATTTAGTAACTTACCACCTATTCCATAAACTTGCAACATCTGCCACATTGCTCCTCTTTTCCACTCTATCATATGCCTTTTCTAAATCCATAAATGCAATAAAAACTTCCCTACCTTTATCTAAATACTGTTCACATATATGCTTCAATGTAAACACTTGATCTACACATCCCCTACCCACTCTGAAACCTCCTTGTTCGTCCGCAATTCTACATTCTGTCTTACCTCTAATTCTTTCAATTATAACCCTACCGTATAACTTTTCCTGGTATACTCAGTAAACTTATTCCTCTATAATTTTTACAATCTCTTTTGTCCCCTTTCCCTTTATATAAAGGGACTATACATGCTCTCCGCCAATCCCTAGGTACCTTCCCCTCTTTCATACATTTGTTTAAACAAAAGTACCAACCACTCCAACACTATATCCCCCCCTGCTTTTAACATTTCTGTCATGATCCCATCAGTTCCAGCTGCTTTACCCCCTTTCATTCTACGTAATGCCTCACGTACCTCCACCACACTTACAGTCTGCTCTTCTTCACTCCTAAAAGATGGTATACCTCCCTGGCCAGTGCATGAAATTACCGCCTCCCTTTCTTCCTTAACATTTAAAGTTCCTCAAAATATTCTCGCCATCTACCTAATACCTCCCTCTCCCCATCTACTAACTCTCCCTACTCTGTTTTTAACTGACAAATCCATACTTTCCCTAGGCTTTCTTAACTTGTTTAACTCACTCCAAAATTTTTTCTTATTTTCATTAAAATTTCTTGACAGTGCCTCTCCCACTCTTTCATCTGCTCTCCTTTTGCACTCTCTCACCACTCTCTTCACCTTTCTTTTACTCTCCATATACTCTGCTCTTCTTATAACACTTCTGCTTTGTAAAAACCTCTCGTAAGCTACCTTTTTCTCTTTTATCACACCCTTTACTTCATCATTCCACCAATCACTCCTCTTTCCTCCTGCCCCCACCCTCCTATAACCACAAACTTCTGCCCCACATTCTAATACTGCATTTTTAAAACTATTCCAACCCTCTTCAACCCCCCCACTACTCATCTTTGCACTAGCCCACCTTTCTGCCAATAGTCGCTTATATCTCGCCCGAACTTCCTCCTCCCTTAGTTTATACACTTTCACCTCCCTCTTACTTGTTGTTGCCACCTTCCTCTTTTCCCATCTACCTCTTACTCTAACTGTAGCTACAACTAAATAATGATCCGATATATCAGTTGCCCCTCTATAAACATGTACATCCTGGAGCCTACCCATCAACCTTTTATCCACCAATACATAATCTAACAAACTACTTTCATTACGTGCTACATCATACCTTGTATATTTATTTATCCTCTTTTTCATAAAATATGTATTACTTATTACCAAATTTCTTTCTACACATAGCTCAATTAAAGGCTCCCCATTTACATTTACCCCTGGCACCCCAAAATTACCTACTACTCCCTCCATAACATTTTTACCCACTTTAGCATTGAAATCCCCAACCACCATTACTCTCACACTTGATTCAAAACTCCCCACGCATTCACTCAACATTTCCCAGAATCTCTCTCTCTCCTCTACACTTCTCTCTTCTCCAGGTGCATACACGCTTACTATAACCCACTTTTCACATCCAATCTTTATTTTACTCCACATAATCCTTGAATTTATACATTTGTAGTCCCTCTTTTCCTGCCATAGCTTATCCTTCAACATTATTGCTACTCCTTCTTTAGCTCTAACTCTATTTGAAACCCCTGACCTAATCCCATTTATTCCTCTCCATTGAAACTCTCCCACCCCCTTCAGCTTTGTTTCACTTAAAGCCAGGACATCCAGTTTCTTCTCATTCATAACATCCACAATCATCTCTTTCTTATCATTTGCACAACATCCACGCACATTCAGACTTCCCACTTTGACAATTTTCTTCTTCTTATTCTTTTTAGTAATCTTTACAGGAAAAGGGGTTACTAGCCCATTGTTCCCGGCATTTTAGTTGACTTTTACAACACGCATGGCTTACGGAGGAAAGATTCTTATTCCACTTCCCCATGGATATAAAAGGAAAAGTAATAAGACCAAGAACTATTAAGATAAAATCAAAGAAAACTCAGATGAGTGTGTATAAATAAACGTGTACATGTATGTGTAGTGTGACCTAAGTGTAAGTAGAAGTAGCAAGACGTACCTGTAATCTTGCATATTTATGAGACAGACAAAAGACACCAGCAATCCTACCATCATGTAAAACAATTACAGGCTTTCGTTTTACACTCACTTGGCAGGACGGTAGTACCTCCCTGGGTGGTTGCTGTCTACCAACCTACTACATTTGTTAATTAGACCTGTGACTCCCATGGTGATAGTGGCCCAGTAACTCCAGACAAAACATTTATCATGGCAGTGCCTCAAGAGCACTCCTTCACTTTCTTGCTTAACTATTGTACTTTAACTACTTTTTAATCAGTCATTAACATATTTAACATTTGCATACACTATGGTAAATAAATGACTATTAGAGACATAGGAAATTATCAGTTACTAGCCTTCATGTAGGAAATTATCAGTTACTAGCCTTCATGTGTACTGCCTATTAGCTAAATGATAAATATAGAGTGCTCATAGAAAATATGCCTCAATTTTTCCACTGCGTTTTGTTGAAAAAGTGTTAATAGATTGCATGTTAATTGACGGTCTCCTGTACTACAATGGATTAACCCTTGTTATTAATCTGAGTAGTCTTCTGCTGAACTTTTAATGATTCTTTATATTAGGGCACTGAATATTGTTTTGCAATGTTTTATACAGGTGTTTTATATAACTTAAGCATTCAGGAATTATATAATTTTGGGAAAACATTAACTTTGGACATGACTTGCATAGCATAGCCAGGGACAGTAGGAGGCTGAGAACTGGTGGGGGCACAATTCAGCATGGCTAGCAGATTGTGAAGACTAACAAGTTGCTACCCAAATTTTGCATGTTGCTTTTTTTTAATTTATGGAGCATAATATGGATGGTTTCCTCATGCTATGAAAAGAAAAAAAGACTGCAATTATTAGTAGCATTTAGCCAAATTGTGCTATGTAGTTTTGTGTTTTGAAAGGGTTTACTGTACCTGTGTAACATCAAAATTTTGGTCTTGCAGTACAATAATTAACTAAATTTTAAGTGAATATGGAGTGTAGATTTAATAAAAAAATAAAAGGTGCTGTATATTCATATGTATATTTCCCAGGGTCCTGATAACCAAGGTGCCCAGGACAGTGATGTAGAGTATGCCCGCTCTTGCCCAAATGCTCACTTTCTCTTCCCTGGTCGCCATGAATTTGCTGAAACCATAAGACGTCCGCTTAAAAACTTTGTGAATAACGTATGCCCATCACGCAAGACAATTCGAAGAAAGTTAAGAGCTTCAGAGTTTCAAGCAGGAAATAGTCGACATATGGGGCTATTGAGAGATATGGGCATTACTATTATGGCTCTTCCAGATGGTCGTGTTCAGTTATTACACACTTCTTCTAATGTAAGTCTGATGTAAAAATAGTTTTACTGTATTGTATTCTGTTTATATAGTAGATTCATTGACAGCAATCACCCAAGTAGGGGTGCCACTGTTTTCTTGTGAGAGTGTGAAACGAGCATGTTAGAAAACATAAAAGTTGCAGAATTCTTTTTACTGTATACACTTTAGCTTTTCTCTGTGTTCCTTAACAGTTCTTGTCTCTGTAATCCCTATAGTTTATCCTTTCTGATTCCATGGTGAAATGAGTTAGACTTTTTCCCTTGTAAAGAGTGGTTAAAGTTCCAAGAACAAGATGCTGGTTATCACCTTTTCTGTATGCAATTCATTACAAAGAGTGAGAAGAATATATTGAAATGGTTACTAGAATGTTAACAGATACACAAATAATTGATTGCTACTATTACAAATGAAAGATAGATGTCCTAACACTAAGGGAAACAAAGTTGAAATGAGCATAAGAGTTTATATAGGAAGAAGTAAGATCATTGAACAAGTGCTATGGAGAAGCAGTAATACTTAACCGGTTAACTGTCCAAACGTAGATCTACGTTCTTACCGCTAGCGCTCCAAACGTAGATCTACGTGTTATTTTTCCTGCCTCCAAATTTGGCATGATTAGCCTGAGATGCCTGGTTAGCATACAGTGGGTCTTAACACTTGGTGTGTGGGAGCACCAGTTCAATTGAGACCCAGTTAGAGCAAACAGCTTGGCAAACACCAGGGATTCACTGATGTCGTGTAGCATTAACACTCCCATTTTAAGAGGAAAGTGATGCTGACCCCAAGTTTAGTGGCTTTGATGTGGATGTGGCCACAAGTGGTCAAGGAAATATCAAAAACCTCAATAATAACCCATGTGTAACATTTGTTCAACGCCCTTTCAATTTTGGTACCACTGGTAGTGTCATACTGCCAAAATGTCTTATAAGCTATGCCCTAAGTAAAGAGAAAATTCTGGGACGTGTAATACGTGTTCGGCAGGCCGGCTGGCTGCCTGGCTGGCCATCTGGCTGGCTGCTGGCTGATTGGCTGTCTCTATATCTGTCTCTATCTCTGTCTCGTGGATACACATCAATACAATTATACATAGTGTAAATTACCTAGGATAACCCAAAACATCCAGACAAAGTGCTATACTGTCCTTGTATATAAAATGTGTAGTAAGCAAATACAGTACGTATTTACACTTGCTCAGGAAACAGACGTGACGACGCAGTCATAGGAACATAAGAAAGGAGGAACACTGCAGCAGGCCTATTGGCCCATACTAGGCAGGTCCTTCACAGATCCATCCCACTAATAGAATATTTGCCATCATAAGAACATAAGATCATAAGAAATAAGGAACACTGCAGCAGGTCTATTGGTCTATGCGAGGCAGCTCCAATTCTCCCCACCAGCTTAAGCCAGTGCCTTGACCTAGTGAGGGAATAGCACTGCATCCGACCTAGTAGCTAGTCGGGTCCATTTCACACCCACCCACACCCATTCATAAGAGCATAAGAACACAAGAAAGAAGGAACACCGCAGCAGACCCACTGACCCACGCGAAGCAGGTCCATCCCCCCCATTACCCCAATGACCCACCTAGTCAGGCCACTTCCACTTAAGGAAGGAACACGGCATCAGACCTAGTAGCACAAAGCTAGTCAGGTCCGACTCATACCCACCCACACCCACTCATGTATTTATCTAACCTATTTTTAAAACTACACAATGTTTTAGCCTCTATAACTGTACTGGGGAGTTTGTTCCACTCATCCACAACTCTATTACCAAACCAGTGCTTTCCTATATCCTTCCTGAATCTGAATTTTTCCAGCTTGAAACTATTGCTGTGAGTCCTGTCTTGGCGGGAAATTTTCAGCACGCTATTTACATCCCCTTTATTTATTTCTGTTTTCCATTTATACACCTCGATCATATCCCCCTAATTCTGCTCCTTTTGAGAGAGTGCAGATTCAGGGCCCTCAGTCTATCCTCATAGGGAAGATTTCTGATACATGGGATCAACTTTGTCATCCTCCTCTGTACGTTTTCCAGTGCATTTATATCCATTTTGTAATATGGTGACCAGAACTGTACAGCATAATCTAAATGAGGCCTAACCAAGGATTTATAGAGTTGAAGAACAACCTGAGGACTTTTATTGTTTATACTTCTAGATATGAAACCAAGGATTTTATTAGCTTTATTGTGAACACTAATGCGCTGTTGTCTTGGTTTTAGATTACTGCTAACTAGAACTCCTAAATCCTTTATGCAGTCAGTAGTATTAAGTTCTACATTATTTAGTTTATATGTGGCATGGTTATTTTCCTGTCCAACATTTAGAACTTTGCATTTGTCTATATTAAACTGCATCTGCCACTTCTCCGACCATTGCATCAGTCTATTCAAATCATCCTGGAGTGCTCTAGTGTCCTCATTAGAATGAATTGGCCTATTTTGGTGTCATCATCAAATTTGCTTATGTCACTATTTATTCCCTCATCTATGTCTTTTATGTAAATTGTGAACAACAACGGGCCCAACACTGACCCCTGCGGAACACTGCTTGTGACATGCCCCCATTCTGATTTCTCCCCATTTACACAAACTCTCTTCTGCCTATTTGTCAGCCATGCCTCTACCCAGGAAAAAATTTCTCCTATTCCGTGTGCCTTAAGTTTCCTCAATAGCCCCTGATGTGGAACTCTATCGAAAGCCTTACTGAAGTCCATATACACAATATCATATTCATTACCATGATCTACCTCCTCAAACACCTTAGTGAAAAAAGTTAGTAAATTCGTAAGACAGGAACGCCCCTTTGTAAAACCGTGTTGAGAGTCATTAATCAATTTATGCCTATCAAGATGGCTACGAATTGCTTTGGCAATTATTGATTCCATAAATTTTCCCACTATGGAGGTAAGGCTTATTGGTCTATAGTTCGAAGCTAAGGACCTGTCGCCTGCCTTGTAAATAGGTATTACATTTGCCATTTTCTACTTATCAGGCACTATGCCAGTTTGTAATGATATGTTGAAAAGATTAGCCAAAGGTATGCTAAGTTCCTCTTTACATTCCTTTAATACCCTTGCAAACAGTTCATCAGGGCCTGGGGATTTGTTAGGTTTTAATTTCTCAATTTGTCTGAGGACCACGTCACTAGTTACCGCAATCGTGCATAGTTTATTATCGTCCTGTTCCACATTATCTATTATTTCAGGAATTTCGCTAGTATTTTCCTGGGTAAAAGCACGTATCATTGTCAGTGATCTGACCAGAGTTACTCTTAAGTGGGCCTATATTGTCCCTAATCTTACTTCTGTATACCTGAAAGAACCCTTTTGGGTTAGTCTTCAAATCCCTTGCGACCTTAGCCTCATAATCCCTTTTTGCTTTTTGTATTTCTTTTTTTATTTCTCTCTTCAATTGAATATATTGATTTCTTAACTGCCCATCCCCTCTTTTGATACGCCTGTATATGCCTCTCTTTTGACCGATGAGGTGTTTTAATCTGTTGTTCATCCATTTGGGGTCATTTTTGTTAGATCTAATTTCCCTACTCAGAACAAAAGTTGTCTGGGCAGCTAGAACTATGCTCTGAAAAACGTCATACTGGCAACCAAGATCACCTGCCTGACCCATAGTCAGGTTATCCCAATTTTGCCCACCCAGGTAATTTTTCAGTCCCATGAAATCGGCCAAGCGAAAGTCTGGGACATAGATTTAATTGCAGTTATCTGGGTAATTCCATGATATATTGAAACTAAGTGACTTGTGATCACTTTCCCCAAGCTCATCATTAACCTCAAGATTATTAATTAGTGATTCTTTGTTGGCAAAAACCAAGTCAAGCAGATTGTTTCCTCTAGTTGGTTCTGTCACAAACTGTTCTAAAAAGCAATTTTGAACCGCATGAAGAAAGTCACTAGACTCAAGATTTCCTGTCATATTGTTCCAATCAATTTGTCTAAAGTTAAAAATCTCCCATTAACACAGCATTTTCATATCTAGACGCCTTTTGAATTTTGTCCCATGACAGCTTACTGCACTCCTTATCAAGGTTTGGGGGCCTATAAAATACACCTACAATTAATTTGTCATGACCCTCGAGAAACTGTAGCCAAGCAGATTCTGTGTTCGATGTTTCTAATCTTATATCATGTCTAAAACAAAAAATTTAAATTATCTCTGACATACATCGCCACTCCACCACCCTTCCTGTTGACCCTGTCAATGTGGAATAGTTTATAACCCTGTATGTTGTATTCAGAAGGTATTTCTCTATCTTTCAGGTTGAACCAGGTCTCTGTTATACCAATAATACCAATAATAGGTTGGTAGACAGCAACCACCCAGGGAGGTACTACCGTCCTGCCAAGTGAGTGTAAAACGAAAGCCTGTGATTGTTTTACATGATGGTAGGATTGCTGATGTCTTTTGTCTGTCTCATAAATATGCAAGATTACAGGCATGTCTTGCTACTTCTACTTACACTTAGGTCACACTACACATACATGTACACATTTATTTATACACACTCATCTGAGTTTTCTTTGATTTTATCTTAATAGTTCTTGGTCTTATTAATTTTCCTTTTATATCCATGGGGAAGTGGAATAAGAATCTTTCCTCCGTAAGCCATGCGTGTTGTAAAAGTCAACTAAAATGCCGGGAACAATGGGCTAGTAACCCCTTTTCCTGTAAAGATTACTAAAAAGAATAAGAAGAAGAAAATTGTCAAAGTGGGAAGTCTGAATGTGCGTGGATGTTGTGCAGATGATAAGAAAGAGATGATTGTGGATGTTATGAATGAGAAGAAGCTGGATGTCCTGGCTTTAAGTGAAACAAAGCTGAAGGGGGTGGGAGAGTTTCAGTGGAGAGGAATAAATGGGATTAGGTCAGGGGTTTCAAATAGAGTTAGAGCTAAAGAAGGAGTAGCAATAATGTTGAAGGATAAGCTATGGCAGGAAAAGAGGGACTATAAATGTATTAATTCAAGGATTATG